TCATAATGCACAATTGCTATGTGTCAATTAAAAAATAAATGAATAAGTAAATAGGAAAGAAAGAAAAGCAAATGTCTTAGTCCAATCCCAGACTTACTAAATCAAAAACCCTGGGGCCTAGTACTCTGTGTCTTAACAATATAAATGGTTCTGATGCATACTAAAGTTTGAGAACCACTGGTTAATAAAAAGATTTGATACTAGAGGGCAGTAATAACTACCACTTACTGAGGGCTGATATGTTTCTAGACATTGCACTCATGATTTTATAAGCATATCATATTTAATTCTCAAGAGAAGGGCTGGGCACTCTTATCTCTTGAAGATGATGCAATAAGGCTTAGCATCTCAATAGTTGACTCAGTTACTAGATGACAGGGCCAGGACTTGGACTCCAATCCTTCTGACAGCAACTGTCATGAACAGCCATAGTCATCAAGCTCATATTGAAGAGGAAACTTTGGCCTGGACGTATCAAGCCATGAAATTGTGCAATCTGTTAACAGGTCTTCCAGTATCCTAAATCCCTCTTGCAATCTACACACACATTCTTTGCATTTTGGAAATCGGCTAGCCGTAATAAAGAATGATGAGATTCACTCGGGGTGGTTGGCAAAATATTACAGAAAACATTAAAGATATATCAGGGAAAGTGATAGATTAGTCTCAAGCCTTTTGGAAGGCCAAAAGATTTTCTTGCGGCAGGTTGAAGGCAGCCACCTCTTTAATATTAGCATAGGAAGGAGATTAGAGACTGATCAAAAGGCCTTATCCCACGCCCATTTGTCTACACTCTAACTGTTTACTCATGTTAATTTTGTGCTGAGTGGTCTCTCTGGGAGGATGAAGGGGAATTACCTGTTAATTGCATTTGTTCTGGGCCCTGGAACCAAAAGCTTTTACCAGTTGTGACACCATTCTCTTAACCCTGTTAATTATGCACAAGTGTGTTAACTTAGAACCTCTGTTGTAACATCTAGGGAATAAATGTGTGGATGAACAGGGAATCTAGGTCGATTGGTTGTGTTGGCTCTCTGAAAGCAGCCAGCGGCCATTCCCTAGCCCCTTTGAAACACTGTAATGGGGTGAAAGTGCATTCACAAGAGTGAAACTCCGTCTCAAAAAAAAAAAAAAAAAAAAAAGAAAGTGCATTCATTCATCCGTCGTTGAGTCAGGTCTTGCAGGTCAGACCTCCGGGGCGGTGAAACCCACGTCTCAAAGAATAGCAAGCAAGAGTTTTTATTTTTATTTTTTTAAAACAGCAGACAAAAAGGCAAATAAGTGACCAAAATCTTCATGAACAAATTATGTTCATAATAAACAAATTTGTTCTCTAAATCTCAACATACCCTTTACTCAGCAAATAAATAAAAATTCTCAGTATTTTGGGAAGGAACTGAGAAGCATGCTTAAGAACAAAATGAGCAGGGTGATTGCACATAAGGAAACTGGCTTTAGAACAGAACTGAGCATCATCCTGAGAAAAAAGGAAATGCACATTCTGGAAGGGTTGCTCATGACTCTTGCTCCCAGATTCATTAGCCCTGCTGGGTTCTCCACCTCTGAGCCCCTCTCTCTCCTTTGGGGAGATCCTCAACTCTCTCTTGAAGACCCAGGCCTTGGATAGTAGGGATTTTTAGAAATTCTAGTTGAATACTCTGGGAATTAGCATTGCTGTTCTTGGAGTAATCCCAGGATAACCTTATGTTCTAGGTCAGACAGTTCAAGTCCTGCCAGCTGTAGGTCCTAGTCCCAAACTTATGTGTCAGTTTGAGAAACTGAGTCCCTGCTCTGTTCACTGGGTCTAAATCTCCATCCTGGGAACCTCTAGTCAGAGACCTTGCCTTTTTTTGGCAGACATCCCTGCTCTGGTTTCTGGACCCCAGCCCTGGTTTGGCTCCTGCTTCCTTCTGCTAGACTTCCATCCTGTCTGCCCACTCTGAAGGCCATTTCATCACCAGCTAAGCCCTGACTACTGATGGTTAGAGTGAGGATGCATTCTAACCCTCAGTACAAAACTTGACCATGCTTAGGAAAAATAAAGATTCCTAGGCTCCCTCCTTAAACCCTAACCCTAACCCCAGCTTCCATCATTATTTTGATTTAGTGGGCCCAGAGCCCAGGAACCTGCATTTTTTGTGAGTCTCCAGTGACTGATTCAGCTGGTTTACTGATTGGCATTTCAGAAATTTTCTCCAAAACCTTCTCCTGATCTAAGAAGTGTGGGCAACGCTTTGGCAATGAATTGTGTTGAAATGTCCATGTGGAAACTAGGACCTCCATTTTGGTGATTTATCGAGGTCTTAGGATTCCAAACATGAGAAGACACGGCTCAAGGGCAGGTGGCATTGTGGGAGGGACAGGGTAGCGTGAGATGCTTCGTGTTCAGATCTCTGGCGGCCCAAGAAACAGTGTCTGAGAGAATGGTCTCCGAACCACACTGCCTGGGTTCCCATCCTGACTTGGCCACTTCCTGGCTAGGGAGTCTCTCTGCACACATTCCACATCTATAAAGAAAATGCTATAGAAGTGCTTGTCATTATTCTTTTTTGTTATTGTTGTTGAGGCAGAGTATCACTGTTGCCCAGGCTGAAGTGCAGTGGTGCGATCTCGGCTCACTGCAACCTCCGCCTCCTGGGTTCAAGCAATTCTCTGCCCTCAGCCTCCTGATTAGCTGGGATTACAGGCGCCTGGCACCATATTTTTAGTAGAAACGGAGTTTCACCATCTTGGTCAGGCTGGTCTTGAATTTCTGACCTCATGATCCACCCGCCTCAGCCTCCCAAAGTGCTGAGATACAGGCATGAACCACCACGCCCAGCTGCCTTCATTCTCATTTTTCCTATATCAGGAACAGACAAGGAGGTGCGAGGACCAGAGGCAGGCAGGGCATGCTCCTCATCTCTGTTCCTCCCTCGCCTCAGTGGTTTGCCCTTCCCGTTCTTATTCCTGGAGGGCTTGTACTGCAGGTCATTCTTGCTCCCTCACTTCATTCACATCTTTTGTCAAATGTCACTTCCTTGGAGAGCCTTCCTGTGAACATCCCATCCAAAGGAGCCCTGGCCCTAGCCCTGCTTCCTATTGCTCCTTTTTATTACTTAACATCACATTATTTTTTGTTCTTTGCCATTTTTAAGCTCCATGAAGACAGGGATTGTTGTATTGTTTTCACTGCCCCATTCCCATCACTGTTCCAAGTGAAAAAAATAATAATCCTTGTCATTCAACCAATATATTTTTTTCTTTTTTTTATTTTGAGGGAGAGTCTCTCTCTGTCACCCATGCTGGAGTGCAGTGGTGTGATCCCAGTTCACTGCAACCTCCACTTCCCAGGTTCAAGCGATTTTCCTACCCCAGCCTCCTGAGTAGCTGGGACTACAGGCGTGTGCCACCACACCCAGCTACTTTTTGTATTTTTAGTAGAGACACAGTTTCACCATGTTGGCCAGGCTGGTCTAGAATCCCTGGCCTCAAATGAACCATCCACCTTGACTTCCCACAATGCTGGGATTACAGGTGTGAGCCACTGCACCCAGCCATCATTTAACAAATATTAAATGAGTAAATGTATGAGTGAGCGAATGGATCCAGCCTTCTCCCTGCCTCCAGTGACTACATGGTCATTGTTTGGGGCTCTTCTGTGTAGGGCAGGGTTCTTGGCAGCCGCACTGTTGACACTGGGGGCCAGGGAAGTCTTTGGTGGGGGGATTTTCTTGTGCACTGCAAGTTATTAAGCAGCACGCCTGGCCTACTAGATGTCAGTAGTCCCCGTTCCATCCCCCAAGCTATGACAATCAAAAACGTCTTTAAAGTTGGCCAAATGACCCTTGGAGGCAAAATGCCTGGTTGAGAACCACTGGGGCAGTATCAGGCTGACTGGGCTAGTATAGTGGCTTTTATTATTAATATTATCTGTAAATAACTAAGTGGATGCTTAGCAATTTAAAAAAGAAAAAGTCTAAAACATCTGAATGAAAATCATTCAATATCCTGAGTCCATGATGAAGCCAAGAATTTCGACCAATTATTATTTGATGATTACAATAAGTGATTGTAATTGTTCAGGGAGTCAAAATTACTAAATACAATTGACTTGGCCTGATTATTATTTTTGACTAAAAAGAAACACAGACAAAAACGTACCCTAGTCCTCAATCCAGAGTTCTGTAGGCATACAGAAAAACAACACCACATGTGTGGCTGTAATAACCCATCTCCTGATTAGACCGATCTGAGATTCTAATTTTTGAAAATGTAAATTGGCCAGGAGTGGCGGCTCATGCCTGTAATCCCAACAGTTTGGGAGCTCAAGATAAGTGGATCACCTGAGCCCAGGAGTTTGAGACCAGCCTGGGTAATATGGTAAAGCCCTGTCTTTAGTGCCTGTAGTCCCAGCTACTTGAGAGGCTAAGGCAGGAGAATTGCTTGAGTGTGGGAGGCTGAGGCTGCAGTGAGCTATGACTGCACCACTGCACTCCAGCCTGGGTGTCATAGTGAGACTCTGTCTCAAAAAAATGTAAACCATATCTAACATTTGATAATACATATTGCCTTTTGACAATATACACCTTAAATGTCATGACTCAGTAATTAAAACATATTTTTTTGGCTATTTTCTATAGATTTTCTAGGAAATGTTGGCAAGTTTCTAATTTCTAAAAACTTCTTATGGTGGTATGAGCCCAGTAAATAAAGAACTGAAAACTTTTTTTCGTCTTATCAATAAAATAATAAATTAGTTTGTTTAAAATGTGGAATTTCCATTTTTCAGAAGTGAAGAAATCCCCAGACAGGTTTACCTGAAAGTTTTAGGTTCAGATAGGAGGCATTGGGGAAAATGCCCCAAGCTGATAGAAATGTTTCCCCCATTCCTATTTTGGTTAAACAATTTTTATTATGTTACACATTTAGTTAACTATATAACATTTAGCATTTTCTTCTTTAAAAAAAATTGTCTCAAATTGCTTATAAATCTAAACGAATGACTTCTTACAACATACCTTTAAAACAAAGCAGTAGTCAGTGGGTGCTTTATATTTCATTTTATGCTGAGTCCCGTAGTAAATGTTGACATTTTCAAACTGTATGAAACATGCCAGATCTCGAGATGTCTGAAAAGCAGGAAAAAGAGTCACTTCAACTGAGATGACAGTTAGCAGTTTTTCTTAGTTGTTCTTGATGGCACAACTAAGGATTACGTTTTAGTAAAGAAAATATTGACTTTTAGGTAATTTATATAAACATCTGCCATGTATAGATTTTCTCAAAGACAAGCCTGAAAGGTTGGAATGGAAATGGAGACAGCCAAATTTGGGGACAATTTCGTAAGATCTATGCGTAAATCTTTCCCAATATGAAAGATATTGAATGTTCCCAACACAAAGAAATGACAAATGTTTGAGATGATGGATGTGCTAATTACCCTGATCTGATCACCGTATATTATATGTATCAAAACATCACTATGTACGTTAGGCACATGTACAATTATTATTTGTCAATCAAAAAATAAAATTAATTTTTAAAAAAGAATACGGCCAAGGAAAATCTGTGTCACTGACCTAGAAAGTGACAAGTGAAAGATTATACTGCTGTTCTAATGCCTGACTGGGGACTCCCAGAGTCAGAATGGACTGTCCTTGAGATGTCATATTATCGAGCCAGTCAAGACAAGGTGACCACTTAGCCAGAAATTTCATTTTGGCTTTTGCCATTTTAAGTCAGTGATGGATTTTGTGATTGAGCATTAAAAAAAAGTCCCCCTCAGGACGAACAATGAGAGACAAACTTATGCTCAGCAAATTAGCACACACTTCATGCACTTCCTCCTGAGAAAAAGGATTTCTACAAATTCTCTCTACTGCAGGCGGTGTTACCATGGAAACAGAGACCTCTCCTCCACGGATAATGGACGTTGTGAAGGCTGCAGCCTGTAATCTACATATTTGGTTACACTTCAATTACAAATTTCTTCCATTATTTTTTTCTTTCACCTTCCACAAGTTTTTACCTAGTTAGTGAATAAAGAATAGAGGGCAGAACTATTTACACCTTAGTGCACAATTATTTCTTTACATATGCCTGTACATTCTGTTCTTACAAGATATTTTCTTCTGGATATTCAAAGTTTACATTTTTAAGTTACAAAATAATGCATATTAGTCACAATTAAAAATATATAATAAAATGCACATTTTCCTTCACCAACTCTTTTTCTTATTTTGTTCTTTTCTCCAAAGATGCCATAGTTAATAGTTTGGTAGTATTCTATTTTATTCTATTCTATTTAGCCACGTTGCCCAGGCTGTTCTTGAATTCCTGAGCTCGAACGATCTGCCTTCTTTGGCCTCCCAAAGCTTTGAGATTACAGGCATGAGCCACTGTGCCCTACCTTCTTTTTCTTAACAGTGCATCTAGGAATCTTTCTATGTCAAGACACATGAATTAATACATGATATTCATTTTATGGCTGCAGGGAATTCTACTGTATAGGCGTAACGATTTATTTAACTATTCTACAGAGGATTAGAAGTTATTTCAATATTTAGCTATTAAAAAACTACTGTGCATATGAACAAATATTTCTGTGGAATAGATTTGTCAAGCATAGAGTTGGCATTTTTAAGGATTATTATTCTCTTTTACATTTACATAGATTTTGCTAAATTGTTTTGCAATTTGGCTGAATGAGTTTCTATTCTAACCTCACAGGTGTGAGTGTCCCTTTTTCTTACCCAATTCCACCAAAAATTGGAATATTATCAATATTATTTATTTTCTCAATCTCATGTTTAATTTACATTTCCCTGATCACTAATGAGACAGAGCAACTTTTAGCTACGCAGTGACTACTGGTACTTCTTTTTCTGTAAATTTTCCCTTTAAAAGCTTTGCCATTTTTCTATAAGTATGTTTATCTTATTTATTTATTTATTTATATTTTTTTGAGATGGAGTTTTGCTCTTGTTGCTCAGGCTGGAGTGCAGTGGCACAATCTTGGCTCACTACAACCTCCGTCTCCCAGGTTCAAGCGATTCTCCTGCCTCAGCCTTCCAAGGCTGGGATCACAGGCATGTACCATCATTCCTGGCTAATTTTGTATTTTTAGTAGAAACGGGGTTTCTCCATGTTGGACAGGCTGGTTTTGAACTCCTGACCTCAAGTGATCCACCCGCTTCGGCCTCCCAAAGTGCTGAGATTACAGGTGTGAGCCACCATGCCCGGCTGTATGTTTCTCTTTTTCTTATTGATTTGTTGAAGTCTTTATATCTAATGGACACTTAAGTAACAAAATAATGCATATTAGTCACAATCTATGAAATATTCAGACTTGTTTATACATATTGCAAATATACTCTCTGACTGTAGTCAGTCTTTAACTTCTTGTTTGTTATCTTTGGCCACAAGGAATTAAAAATAGCTTTATAAGGTCAAATCTGTCCATTTTTTCTGTTATAATTTTGAGTTTTTAGTCTTGCTTAAGAAAGCTTTCCCCAGCCCCAAATTATGAAAACATTAACCTATATTTTCCCCTCCCTCCCTCCCTTCCTCCCTTCCTTCCTTCCCTCTTTCTTTTTTTTTTTTTTTCAGGGTCTCATTCTGCCACTTAAGCTGCAGTGCAGTGGCACGGGCTCAAGAGATCCTCCCCCATCAGTCTCTCAAGTAGCTGGGACTACAGGAATGTACCACCATTCCCGCTTTTTTTTTTTTTTTTTTTAAATATTTTTTTGTAGAGACAGGTTCTCCTTATGTTTCTCAGGCTGGTCTTGAACTCCTGGGCTTAAGTGATGCTTCTGCCTGGGCTTCCCAGAGTGCTGGGATTACAGGCATGAGCCACTGCACCCAGCTGACCTCTATTTTCTTCTAGGATTTTATACTAATTTTCTCTAAAGATATTTTAATCAGTCAAGAATTTGATTTGGTACATGGATTGAGGTAGGAAATCGTATTTCTAAATGGATATACAGTTATTTCAACGCTATTCACTGAATACCACATTCTTTACCCACTGCTATCATATAAAATTCTAACTTTAACTTCTCTTATATTAGATGGCTGTCTGTCGACCTGTTTGTCTCTAGCTGTACTGTTTTTATTTAATGTTTTGACATGGTACATTAGATCTACCTTGATGTTCTCTGCAATTTTGGGGGGGTCTATTTTGGAACAGTGTCTTTTTCCCATGAATTTTAGAATCGGTTTGTGAATTTCAAGTAAATAAATCCAATTGATATTTTTATTAAACATTCATTAAATTTACAGAAAACTGGGAAGAATTAATAACTTTTCATTTACCAACATGGTATTTTTTTTTTTTTTTTTTTGAGACGGAGTTTTGCTCTTGTTACCCAGGCTGGAGTGCAATGGCGTGATCTTGGCTCACCGCAACCTCCGCCTCCTGGGTTCAAGCAATTCTCCTGCCTCAGCCTCCCGAGTAGCTGGGACTACAGGCGTGCGCCACCATGCCTGGCTAATTTTTGTATTTTTAGTAGAGACGGGGTTTCACCATGTTGACCAGGATGGTCTCGATCTCTTGACCTCATGATCCACCCGCCTCGGCCTCCCAAAGTGCTGGGATTACAAGCGTGAGCCACCGCGCCCGGCCCGTATTTCTTTTTTTCAAGACGGAGTCTCACTCTGTTGCCAGGCTGGAGTGCAATGGTGCGATCTTCGCTCACCGCAACCTCCACCTCCTGGTTCAAGTGATTCTCCTGCCTCAGCCTCCCAGGTAGTTGGGATTATGAGTGTGCACCAACACACCCAGCTAATTTTAAAATATTTTTAGTATAGATGGGGTTTCACCATGTTGGCCAGAATGGTCTCGGTGTCTTGACTTTGTGATCCGCCTGCCTCAGCCTCCCAAAGTGCTGGGATTACAGGTGTGAGCCACTGCGCCTGGCCAGCAACATGGTACCTTTCTTCTGATTCAGTTCTACTTCACTTCTCTTATTCAAGTTTATGTTTATATCATACAGCTCTTGAACATTCCTTGTTTATTGTTAGATGTTTTGCATTTTTTGTTTCTAGACTGTATAGATTCTTTTGCATTTTATTTAGTTTGCATATCATATGTATAAAGAGAAACTTTCTTAGTTAATACATTTATTTGGTTCTAACAGTTTTTCAGTTCAGTGTCTCATATTGCTGGATAGATAATCATGCCAACTGTGAAAAATCAGTCTTTGCCTCTTCTTTTCTGTCAGTCATACTTATTATTCTTTTCTTTAATGTACTAGTTACTTCCTCAACCCAGTGTTAATGGTAACAGTGACAGAAAGTATTCTTGTCCAACTCTAATGTAAACATTTTTTTAAAAGACATAGTCTTGCTCTTTCTCCCAGGCTGAAGTGCATTGGCATGATCTCAGCACACTGCAACCTCCACTTCCCAGTTCAAGTAGTTCTCCTGCCTCAGCCTCCCGAGTAGCTGGGATTACAAGTGTGCCACCACACCTGGCTAATTTTATTTTTAGTAGAGATAAGGTTTCACCATGTTGGCCAGGCTGGTCTAGAACTCCTGGCCTCAAATGATTCACCTGCTTCAGCCTCCCAAAATGCTGGGACTACAGGCATGAACCACCACACCCAGCCAAATGTAAACACTTTTAATTCTCATCACAGAGTATATCATTTGTTATTTGCTTATTTATATGTATCATTTATATTTAAATGACTGAGACATAAAAATTTCTAAAAGAAAACAAATTGTTTGTGGATCAGCTGTGCGGTGCCCAGTGAGGGATTGGAATGAGATAGCAGAGTTGGGAAGGAATCAGAGCTAAGGCTGGGAGTGGAAGAGGCTAAGGAGAACAGTAGCTACCCTGGAACAAGAGTTAGCCATAGTGCCCCTCCTGCCTTCCAACAGAGACAAGAGTCTCCTTACTAGAGGTAGCAGACCTGGATGTTCACGATGACTTCATTGGCTTGGAAGTATGAGTTATGCTTTATCAGAGGAATCCTGCAATGCATAAACACACCATTGGTGGTGCCCTGCATTTGGAAGGGAAGGCAAATGCTTCTGCTTACCCAAGATACAGATTAGAGATATATTAAAGGTGAACCAAAGATGAAAATGTCACAATCCTCTAAGAAAGGTCTTAGAGAAAGCTGATGGTCACAATAAGAGATAAAACTACATTTCAAGGAATAATTTAGTGCATACTTATAAATTTGAGGCAATAATCCCAAATCACCAAGTAAAAGTTAAATGATGTCTAAAATACCCTGTTAAAATCAGGCAGGGAAATTCATAGAGTACACCTCAGAGAACAATTTAAAAATTCAGAGTCTAAGGGCTAAAATCTCAAGCAAAATCTAGTCAAGAGCTGGGTGCGGTGACTCATGCTTGTAATCCCAGCACGTTGGGAGGTTGAGGTGTGTAGATTGCTTGAGTTCAGGAGTTCAAGACCAGCCTAAGCAACATGGTGAAACCCCATCTCTACAAAAAATATTAAAAAAATTAGCTGGGTGTTGTTGCATGTCCCTGTAGTCTCAGCTACTTGGGAGGCTGAGGGGGGAGGATGGCTTGAGCCTGGGAGGCGGAGGTTGCAGTTAGTCAAGATCATGCCACTGCACCCCAGGCTGTGGATTAGAGTGAGACTCTGTCTCAAAAAAGAAAAAAAGAAAATCTTATCAAGACTTCTAAAACCTATATGATTCCAGATAAAAGAAATTTAACTATAATGCCTATAGAACAACAGGGGTGAAGAAAAGTCCTTGGAAATAGGTAAAGTAACAAAATAATCTCTAGAAAAGTGCTTTTGCCATCATTTTTGAAACCAGACTTTAAAATAGATAAAATAATTTTCCCTTCAAGAGAATTACGGCAAAAATAAAAAAGATTTCAGTATTACTGTCCTATTTGTATACATGCTGCAGGATTATGGAACCCACAGCAACAGAGAATATATTTAACTTGCTACCTGAGGATTTCTTTAGTTTCACTTTCATAAAATGGTTTATTGCTAAGTGCTTTTTTTTTTTTTTCTGACCTTAGTCTTTCCTTTGGGTACATAATAAATTCCAGAAGCCCGTAAAAGAAAATAGCGCCTTTTCCAGGATTTCTTTCCATCTTCTTTCAAATAAAGAGCTCCTTCCAGTTCTGGTACAATGACAGATGTTCCACAGAAACTTTCCTGAAATTGAGATTCCAACGACGTAAGATGCACACGAAAGATAAAGCATACATTTTTATTCACATTTAAACAAGCTTGCGAATTAGCTTTTAAACTAAAAGTCAATTTTGTGTACAACTCTGATTGAATGCATATTTTTATATTATATGATACTTACCAGAAGACAGGGAGAATAACATATCTATCAAGAATCCTGGCTCCTGAGTTAGACTTCAAGTCCGCCTCACCACTTAGCTCAGCAACCATGGGCCATTAAACCTCAGTCCACTTACTTGTCAAAACTGAATAACAATAGCCCACTTCATAAGGTAGGTTGTGAGCACAGTCTTGGGATATCGTAAAAGTCAGCATTTAATAAAAGTGATTCATGTTATTATAAAATGGAAGATAGAAAAAGTATTACTTTCCTGATAAGTAAAAAAGTTACTGTTTCATTGCTGGTAAATGGAACAATTATTATATATAATTCTACACACAAAATCAGGGAGGACAGTTAATGGGTACAAATAAATAGAAGGAATGAATAAGCCCTGCTATTTGAAAGCACAGCAGGGTGGCTATCGTCAATAACTTAATTGGGCATTTAAAAATAACTAAAAGAGTGTAATTGGATTGTTTGTAACACTAAGGGTAAATGCTTGAGGAGATGAATAGCCCATTCTCCATGATGTGTTTATGTCACATTGTATGCCTGTATCAAAATATATCATGTACCCCATAAATATATATGCTACTATGTACCCAGAAAAATTAAAAATAAAAATAATCAAATAAATAAGTCAATATTTTATTCTTGGAATAGTTTTCTTTTCAAAGAAGGAAGAAGGCAGTTATTAATATATGAGTATCAGAAAAGAATAACAAAGCACATCTTCTAGATGTAGATTTTTAAATCTCAAAAGTTGCATAGAATTATATAATTATTAATAAATTTTGTTTTTAAAAGCAATAGAATACAATTATATATTATTCTATTTTACAACTCAAATATTCAAACTTTTTTTTGCTTTCTTTTTATGACTCTCAATATCCTCTCATTTAGTTCAATAAATGCAAAATTACTGAATTTTGCATCCTCCAAATACATTTTTAGGTAGTAGAGCTGGAAAACATTATTGTTCACACTCCCCAATTTCTCTCCAAAATTGGCTAGTATTAGTCGTCCTGTTAATAATCTCTTAAATTCAGAATTTTGACCCCAGTTAGACAGCAGGATATTGCTGATTTTTCATAGCATAGCATGCTTTGTATTTTCTTTTACATCCAGCTGTAAAACATTGCTGAGGTCCTGGAACAAGGACTATCCTGTTTGGCCTCCCTGGGAAATGCCCACTGTGCGCATGCTCCTAGGAACAGAACCGGCAACACCTGAGCTCAGGCTCTTGGGAGTGGCAGCTGGTTCTGGTAGCTGCTTCATTAGGCACCGGGCTGTGAAAGCAGGCAGGGAATAGACACGCGCAATACCTGGGCGGAACCTTAGTAAACACGAGAGGGCGCTCTTCAGCATGAGCCAATTGGTCTCCAGGTGGGAACTGGGCCGAGGGCATCACCAGGTCTTCTGATTTTTCAAGGGAGGTCCAAAATTTACTAACTCAGGAAAAGGTCCATGCATTGTCTCAGGGTAAAACAATCCGGGCAGCTCTAGCATGGGCATTTGTGACTTGAGTTCTGGCACTCATTTCAACTGCGTTATGTGCTGAAAACAGAGCCTCGATTTTTTATTTTTTAATTTTCCTTTGAGACTGGCTGTTGCTCTGTTGCCCAGGCTGGCCTTGAGCTCTTGGACTCAAGCGATCCTCCCACCGCAGCTTCCTGAGTAGCTGGGATTACAGGTGCGTGCCCCCATGAGAGGCTCAGAGCCTTCATTTTAGCATAGATACTGTGTGAAAACTCACTAGAAGTTTCCAAAAAAATCAATTGCCAAATGTACTTTTGGAACATGCCTCAATAGTGGTCATCACAGACATCTGTATGGTAATCGACAGTGCTTTTCCCATCTCACTGAATCTCCGTGATGATTCAATACAATTCAGAAACTGAGGTTCTTGGGGCAGGGACTGGTCCATTATCACATGAACTGTGCTGGACAGAGACACCTCCTGTAACGTCCCTAACTCCGAATCTCACACTTCTTACCACATCTAAGATGTTGGGAGAGCATCTTAGAGGTCCCTTTAAAGAGGTTTGGAAATCTTTATGTCTGACTTCTGTGGAGCACTTAAATAATGAAACATATGACATGCTAGGAGATGGGTTTTATGAGGATTTGCCAAGTCTTCTTAAAAGTCAAGAATTACTAATCCAACTTCATTTGTCTAAAGCCACGTGTTTTAACAAATGACTCAAAAAAGAAAAACAGTTGAATTATCTAAATAGCTATAATTTAGTAATAATTTGATTTTAACACCCCAACTTAAAATTTCAATGTATTTCTTTAGGTTTTTCCATTGTTCTGGGAAGCAAATGACTTAAAAATAGACACAGCAGGCTGGGTGCGGTGGCTCATGCTCATAATCCCAGCACTTTGGGAGGCCGAGGCAAGTTGATCACCTGAGGTCAAGAGTTTGAGACCAGCCTGGCCAACATGATAAAATCCTGTCTCTACTAAAACAAAAATTAGCTGGGTGTGGTGACACGCACCTGTAATCCCAGCTACTTGGGAAGCTGAGGCAGGAGAATTGCTTGAACCTGGGAGACAGAGGTTGCAGTGAACTAAGATCGCACCACGGTACTCCATCCTGGGCAACAGAGTGAGACTCTGTCTTAAAAAAAAATAGATACAGCAAACATCCTTTTCTTTTCCTCCACTCTGCAAAATTAAGCTTACCTCAAGTAAGGATTCCTTGTTCTTAGCATTCATTTTCTCACTAGTTTCCTTGCTTTCTTTTTTTCCTCTGTTATCCAAGTAGAAATTCTAAATAAAATGTTAAAAGATCAGATCAGTAAGTGTTCATTACCATGCTAGACTCTGCAAGGAGCTCACAGTCTTGCTGGAGAAAAGGCATTAAGTATGTGAAATAAATAGGGAACCAGAGCATATGGTATTGGTCAATCATCAGGGCCTTCCCAAAGGCTGATACCGCATCACCGAGGCAAGAGTGAAGCCTTCTCATCCTCCCCTAGCATACAATCAATGAAAAAACAGAAGAGAGAAAACAGTAGCAAAAAATACATCACTTAATTGTTAAAGTTCATGTGTGGACCATGCGTGTTAAATGCTGGAAGTCCCAAGGCGCTGGCAAGAGCTGGAGGTTGGAGTGAAGGTCAAGCTCATGTCCTATGCTCAAGAAGGGAGCTGCTCCAGCTGGCAGATGCCACATAGGATCTCAAGGTCTTGTAGACCAGTGGGATTCTGGCTTATCAAGAAAATCCAGAAATGTGGATGTTTGTAAAAATGACCTCTTTAAAAAAAAGAAAAAACTGCGTGGGTTAATCACAACACATAATTTACTATTTGGCAACTTCTAAGGACAAAAAGAAGCAGAAAGGGTATTTCTGGAAAGAAAACCAGCCTAAACAAAGGCAGGGAAGACGGTGACCTAAAAGCACTCACAGGCTGGGTGTGGCTCATGCCTGTAATCCCACCACTTTGAGAGGCTGAGGCAGGAGGATTACTTGAACCCCAGAGTCTGAGACCAGCCTGGGCAACATAGTGGGACCCTGTGTCTACTAAAAATAATAATACAAATATTAGCTGGGCATGATGGCATGCATGCCTGTAGTCTCATCTTCTCTGGAGGCTGAGGCTAGAGGACTGCTTGAGCCGAGGAGTTCAAGGCTGCAGTGAGCTATGATCACTCCACTGCACTCCAGCCTGGGCAACAGAGTGAGACCTTGTCTCAAAAAACTAAACTAAACTAAAAATAAAGAAGTAAGCCGGGCGCGGTGGCTCAAGCCTGTAATCCCAGCACTTTGGGAGGCCGAGGCGGGTGGATCACGAGGTCAAGAGATCGAGACCATCCTGGTCAACATGGTGAAACCCCGTCTCTACTAAAAATACAAAAAATTAGCTGGGCATGGTGGCACGTGCCTGTGATCCCAGCTACTCAGGAGACTGAGGCAGGAGAATTGCCTGAATCCAGGAGACGGAGGTTGCGGTGAGCCGAGATCACGCCATTGCACTCCAGCCTGGGTAACAAGAGCGAGACTCCGTCTCAAAAAAAAAAAAAAAAAAAAAAAAGAAGTAAAAGCACTCAGAAGCGGATTTACGGTCTCTGAGCATGGTTTGTATTAATTTCTGGATCACACCTTGTTAATACTGAATACCAATGGGATGGCTAAAAATAGTGAGTGAGTTTCCAAAAAGTCATGAGCACTCGAGAACTAATTTTTACACAATGAGTGCGGCTGAGGTATCCATATGCAGAGTGAATATTGTGAGTGACCACTGTCATAGAGTGCTGAGCATTTTTATGTAAAAGCAAAGAGTTTTACAAAATACATAAAAAATGTATTAAAAGTCAGAAAATGCATCTCAGGAGCACTGTGACTAAATTAAGGACCCTCCCCAATCTAGGCACAAGTGTTTATTTACACCATAGGAGCGTTTCTTCAAGTATAACCCCCAGACCACCTCGAAACTCGACACAATGCATGTTCCTGGGCTACACCGGAATCCCTGGAACGAGGCCTGGAAATGTGCATTCCAATATCCTTTCCAGATGATTTTTATGCACACTGAAGCTTGAGTTTTTCTTTTTATTTATTTATTTTTTTTAAGAGACAAGGTCTTGCTCTGTTACCCAGGCTGGAGTGCAGTCACATGATCATATGCAGCCTTGCACTCCTGGGCTCAAGCAGTCCTCCCGCCTCAGCCTCCTGAGTAGCTGGTATTACAGGCGTGTGCCACCATGCCTGGGCACACTGAACTTGAGAATCAAGTGTACTGTACAGAAAAGAAGCAAACTGCAGGCAAAGAAAATGTATAAGTTTAAGATATCTCCTTGAAATACAATGCATAAGAATGATGATTTGCTAACTTAAATAGGGAAAATACATCAAGTACAATTTTTTTTTTTTTTTCTTTTGAGACAGAGTCTAGCTTTGTCGCCCAGGCTGGAGTGCAGTGGCGCAGTCTTGGCTCACTGCAACCTCTGCCTCCTGGGTTCAAGGGCCTCCTGCCTCAGCCTCCCAAGTAGCTGGGATTACAGGTGTGCACCACCATGCCCAGCTAACTTTTTGTATTTTTAGTAGAGATGGGAGTTCGCTATGTTGGCCAGGCTGGTCTTGAACTCCTGACCTCAACTGATCTGCCTGCCTCAGCCTCCCAAACTGCTGTGATTATAGGCATGAACCACTGTGCCCGGCCAAGTACAATTCTTTTGATAGTTTTTACTGAAAAGGAGCTAATTTTAATAAGTTTTTCCAAGACTTTTGAACTTTTACTTGTTATTTGAAAGGATGTTATATTGTGAATTGGTGTGATTATAATTTAGGATTCAGAAAGCTATTTTAATTTTAAATGTTTTGCTTGAAGATCACGACTAGCCATAATAAATAACATATTCTACCTGCCAGAAATCTATGCTAAGGCCTTACAGGTACGCTTTTCACTTCATCCTCATAAGAACCCCATAACATAGGTACCATTGCTATTGCTACTTTACAGGTGAGGATACAGAGAATTAAGTGATTTTCCTAAGGCCGATTAGAGGCAGAACGTTGTTAAATAATTTTTCTCGGCATTAAAATAATCTAAGTACAGAGCCAAGCATAATGGCGTGCACCTGTAGTCCCAGCTACTCCAGAGTCTGAGGTGGGAAGATCAGTTTAGCCTAGGTGTTTGAGTCCAGCCTGGGCCACACAGTGGGGCCCCATCGCTAAATAAATAGATAGATAGATAGATAGATAGATAGACAAATAAATAAATAAATAAAGCTTTAAATACCATAGGGGAGAATCTAGCACATCAATGTGAATGTACTTAATACCACAAAAGGGTACACTTAAAAATGGTTAAGATGATAAGTTCTATGTTATATATATTTCCCCACAATAACAAAAGATGTGACCCAACGTGAGTTCACCCATTCATATATGAGTGATTTCAGGGTGCTGCTAGAAAGCAAACTGTAGTTTAGGAGGGCCAGATATTTGAATCACATATGATGAATTGAAAGTGTGAACAAAGAGCATAATGAAGACTCCAAGCCTGGGTGCAGTAGCTTACACCTGTAATCCCAGTACTTTGGGTGGCCAAGGTGGGTAGGTCACCTGAGGTCAGGAGTTCAAGACCAGCCTGGCCAACATGGCGAAACCCTGTCTCTACTAAAAATACAAAAATTAGCTGGGTATGGTGGTGGGAACCTGTAATCCCAGCCACTCGGGAGGCTGAGGCAGGAAAATCGCTTGAGCCTGGGAAGCAGAGGTTGCAGTGAACCAAGATCACACCCAGTCTGGGTAATAAAGCAAGACTCTATCTCAATAAAAACAAAACAAAACAAAACAAAAAACAAACCCAAAAAACAAAAACAAAACAAAAAAGACTCTAGAGCAAGTGTTTTTCATCATCCTCATCTGGGAAAGACAGAGCATCCGTCACTCTCTGTAGGGAAGAGCCTGTCTAAACTGTGAAGGGCCACATTTCACCAGGGTGCCCTAAAGAGGCAGGATCTCCGTACCTTTCTTTGAGAACTTTCTCTGACACACTTCTGACTTTCTCAGCTTCAGAATGTCCTTCTAAGTGACCATGCTACACTGTTTTTGTTTATTTGAATGAAATAGCAAAAAGTACAAAGTAAATCTGTGCCAGAGGAAGGCAGTGCTTAGAATAAGAATAATTCTCAGAATAATAAGACTGACTGCTTTCGGATCAGAACTTCCACCTGTGGTGTGGGTGCCCACTCAGTGTGGGCTGTTCTGTAGAAGCAGTGAGCAGAACGCAACCTTTAGTCATGATCTCCTGCAAATGGAAGTTGGGTAAACCTGAGTCGAATAATAAAGGAACTTTAAAATGGGAAATGAGACTTTTGGTCACAGCTTGCTCTCTTTTCTCACAGCTTCTGAGAGTGCAAGGTTTGGGGACAGCTGGATAGGAAAGAAACAGCAAATACTTTTTAAACATCATCTTCTTGGAATAAAGAGCAAATCAAGCAAACAGTTATCAGTCCATGAAGAAATATTTGTGTGCACCCTTTATACATGCAATACATCCCTGTTGTTTTTATTGAGGGGGTAACATGGCTTCACTCTGTTGCCCAGGCTGGAGTGCAGTGGTGTGATCACAGCTCGCTGCAAACTCCGCCTCCCGGGTTCAAGTGATTCTCCTGCCTCAGCCTCCTGAGTAGCTGGGACTACAGGCATGCACCACCTCACCTGGCTAATTTTTTGTATTTTTAGTAGAGACAGCTTTTCACCATGTTAGCCAGGATGGTCTTGATCTCCTGACCTTGTGATCTGCCTGCCTCAGCCTCCCAAAGTGCTGGGATTACAGGCCTGAGCCACTGTGCGCCACCTCAGCTAATTTTTAAATTTTTTGTAGAGATGGGGTCTTGCTATGTTGCCCAGGCTGGTCTCAAACTCCTGAGTTCAAGTGATTCACCTGCTTTGGCCTCCCAAAGTACTGGGTTTACAGGTGTGAGCCACCATGCCCGGCCCCAAATCTCTGTTCTCAAGAAGGTTGCTATCACATGGAAAAGATAAATACGGATAGATCATAGAGAGGTAGACAGACGGTTCTATATGTATTGATGGGGAAGATAGAAGAGACTACATAAATTCAAAATGAGCCACATTCTAGAGATTTTCAAGAAGGAACAAATTACTGAGAGACGGTCAAGGAAAACTTTAGATGGACTGAGAGAGATGGTCAAGGAAAACTTTACAGAGGGGATCAAAGTGTGAACGAGGCCTTGAAAGATGTTCAGTATTCAGCTAGGGGAAAAGAGAATGAGAATAGATTTCCAGGCAGGAGAA